GATCAGACACATCGGTTACATATCTTTTTTTTGAAATAGGAATGATTTTAGCATGACACTTATTGTATGTTCTTAACACTAATTTCTAATATTGGTGAGTCTCTATCCACTATCATCAGCATCGCTATAACTGCCTTGCAATTGACCATCTCGTTCCTCCAACAAACTGCGATTTAATTCTTGTATGCGGGCTGACAACGCTCGGCGACGAGGTGTTCCAAATGATGGAATAGGCGGCGGTTCAATAAGTGTGTTCTTTTCGCCTGTCATTGTTGTCGATGTAATTTTTGAATATTTAAGCCAATTCGCAATTAGAAGATCGAAAGTAGTTTCATAGATCGACAGAGTATAGAATTCGGGCCGATTCGGGAGATAGTAGGGTGGTGAATGGAATTGATGACATTTTTTTTTGGCAATGTTGTGGATATTTTGGATGCAAATGCGATGGATTGATATGGTCACGCATTGTAGCAGAGAGTGAGAGTGTACCGTGTCGTCGTTGTCAGGTGATGGAAAGTGTTTGGATAACGATGGTGTGTAGGGGGTGTTGATTTAGTGTGAAGAGAATAAAAATTTGTATTTTTTATTTGAAATTGGAAAAAGAGACAAGAAGAGAAATTGAAATTTTACATAACTGTAAAATAATACTTATCGTTGTTGTTGTTATTTTTCTCTATTGTTTTTTTGAAAATGTTGAACAGTTTTGTAATATTCAATAAATACATTGGCTAAAATGTTTTATTATCAAACAAATGTCTAAAAGATATAGGTATTTAAAGTATTTTGTCTATACAGTTATAATAAATACTCTATATATAAATATAAATGTTTATGAAATAAAATTAAATAGGCCAAAAAGCTTCAAATCAACAGAGTTCTTTTTGTATTTTCAATATTTGGAAAACAAAATTGTCTAAAGGACAATATCATATGGCAATTTGATAAAAATCGGCTATAAATGGTAGAATTTCGTACATATTGTCCTTTCGGCAAAATACATATACAACCAAATAAAGCCAAAACTAAAATATTGTAAACAAAAACTAAATTGCATGCAAAAATATTGGCTCTCTCGCTCTCGCTAAAATTTTATTTTACATAAAATCCTAAAAAAACAGATTCTCATTGGTTTACAAAATTTTTATTTGTTATTGTTGTTGTTCAAACGGCTGCGGTTGATATATATATATATATTCAAATTTCGATATTTGTACATAAACAATTTATAATCAGCACTTGAAACAAATACAAATATAAACGGAGGAAATACCAAAATATAAATCATTTGATAATCGAAAATAAAAACAAAAATATTTTCGAATACTATTTTCTAAAATTTGAAAATATTTATTAAGCTAAACTAATACTAACTAATATTGGATTGTGTTTTACATTGCGTGATTTCCTAGATTTATACTTAAAAATATCGTATTTATGCTTGAGGAGATGGTCATCGGCTAGTAAAGTTGAGTTCCGAATTTCTTCTGATGTCTCAATAGGAAGCAGGAACAAATTCATCAATATATTTATGTACATAATTGATACAAATATTGTTGTTATTACTTAAAAAATATATAACTTGGGGTAAATAGGTGAATGGTGTAAATAAACAAATGATCGATACAAATGTCATATCAATTGAATATAGTTTTTGTTTTATTTAATTGTGTAATTGTTGCAAAAAATGGGTTATCGTAGAACAATTTTATAAAGGAGAGAAAAAACAATGGTGTTATCTAAAACAATGTCATAGGTTAAGAAAGGTAATGACTAATAACACGTGGCATTATTTTGGAAAAAATATACATTAACCAACTGCTACTTCCATTTGAAAATAGGTATACGAAAACGAGTTTAAGCTTCCGACGATTTAAGTTTCTAAAATGAACATTTTAAATGTGTATTGTATTAAAATTTCTATATACACGTCTCAAGAACATCATCAACATATTTTATTTTGCATTATGTCTTCTGATTTTAATTCAGTCTAGTCCGAAGCGTGGAACTGGATTTTCAAGGGCAATCTTATGGGTTAGAAAACACACGAGTGAGGGTGCAACATGGGGGAGATCTAAGACTTAGCAAATTGTAATATTAAAAAAAAAATCAGCAGACTGTCAGGTATTCCCACAGGATATCTCAGCCTGCAGGCGCATTTACACAAGATTAGGGGCGAGTGAAGCAGCAGGTGTAGAGCGCGTGGAGAAGACAGTGAAAGGCTGGAACATTTTCTATATCACTGCTCAGCCTTTGCAAGCCTTCGTACAAAATTCTTGGTTAATGACACGCACTGACCGACCTAAGGGGGTATGAATGGAAAAGTCTGAAGGACTTCGCTAAGAACACAGAATTCTTAGATGTATTAGAACTACAGATCTTGTGATGCTTTCTTCAAACTCCATTCTAGAGCGCACAATAGGCCTTTCACTGGATTAAGTGTACAAAATTGCGGTGATTATAAAACAGTACACCAATCTAGTCAATAATGAAGTCACAATAATTCCCGCCATTTTTTTTTTGTTTAATATGGAAAATATGCAATTTCAGGGTAATAAAATTACTCAAAGAGACTGTTATGTTTTCATGTTCACAATACTCCATCTTAAATTTATGAAGCACCATCCTGTAGCACTGTTAAAAATAGTTTTATTAAATAAAATCGAAGACGAAGATTGGTCAAAGATGAACAAAAAATCGAAATCTGTATGCCGGAGAGGTAACAGAGACGATGGGACTATGTAGCGGATATCTGTCCAAAATCACTATTTAGAATAAATGGTGAGCTCTGTCACGTTTAGACCATACATGATTCACCATTCGCTATATACAATATATATGTTTTTATCAAAGAGCTTACCATCTTTGGGATGGAAACAGCAGAAGTTGCCTATGGATCCTATACTTCCAATCATCGGACTTGATTTAAGTATCAAAGGTATATAACGACGCGACCAATTTGGATTAATAGAGCCCGTAAAAATACTACGATGTGCAAACTTTAATCAAATTGGATATTTCATTCTCCTCATATAAGATTTATAACTTTTTAAAAATACTGACCCTTTGTGATGGTGGTAATAGTGGAAGAGGGAGGATAAGTTCCATCTTAAAACATTATACCGGCTTGGTTGAAATATGAGGTTGGGGAAAATCGGCAGATTGCTGTACTGATAAATTTCTCGATCAAACACTTTCAGATTTATGCTCGTTGGAAGGGTGACATTTCGCAGTAAAAAAATATTTTGCAGGTTCTTGATTGGTGCATTTAGTTGTGAGTTACAGGGTGTAAAAAATGGAAGTGAACAAAGAGAAAATTCGGTACATTTTACAGTTTTTCTTTGACAAAGGCGAAAATGCAAGCCAGGCGGCTAAAATTGTGAATGGTGTTTATGGTTCCGATACTTCAACAGCTAATTATGTGCAATTGATTTCGTAGATTCCGTTCAGGAATTTTTGTTTGTGTTAATGTATCCGCCATACAGTCAGGACTTGGCACCAAGCGATTATCATCTTTTTCTTGCATTGTAAAATTTCTTTAAATATATTTCTTTCTATGAGAGAGGCATTATGAAGTTACCTTTAAAATGGCAACAAACCATACAACAAAACGGTGCATATTTGACCCATATCGGACATTTTGAAGCATGGTAAATAAAGTCCTATAGTTCGTATAAAAATAATGGATTTTTCCCCAACCTATTATTAGGTTGTGCAAAGTTCGCAAGATGTTATGAAATAAATATTCTCCTGAATTTTCGACATTTTATGTGGAGTGAACCAATTTTCCCCATCTTCCAAACTTGATTTATATTTGGAAGAAACATTACGATTTTAATAGTTTTTATTAAAACATATCACTCAACTCAATTGATATTGAAATTACAAACTTTCAAAATTTTTACAGTTTTTTGTGAGGTAGCCTAAGGAGTGAACCGACCCAAAATGTGTTAAATGGTTTTGTCCAAAGTAACAATGGGTCTCAGACCAATATTTTGATGTGGCACATGTTTGTCGTAGCAAATTGTATATGCCGGACGACAATCATGAATCTTTGAGAAGGAACTCGGCACAAAATCGGCAGAAATCGACTGTGTGTTTTTTCTGCAAAATAGGTCATGTGACGCAGTCCCTCTTGAGTAATGTAAATTTCGGTGATATTCGAAATATGTAGCCCTTTTAAAAGGAATTTCATCTTTGTTTTAGGGATTTCGTTATTATCGGAGTTTGTATGGATAAAATAATAATTGATGGCACCCAAAACTATCGGAGAAATATACAATTTTGCCAAAATAATATACGAAATAAACAGTTGAAGAGGTTTTTATTTCAAATAGCATATTGAATTGAAATACAATTGCCCTGGAATAGTAACAGTCTGAAAAGACGATTAATAAATTAGAAAGTACTTTTTGCTATGCAGTGTTGCACCTTTCCTAGAACGATTCATTAAATCGCTTCTGTAATATATACAGCTCAAATCTCTCCTAAGTGTCGTATTGTAATGTGGAGAAATACTGGTAATTTGTCATATTGTTTCGTAATTGTGATTATGGCAATGTGACCGTTTTTGGGCGATAAAATGTGCATGGTGATTATATCTAAGGTGATAGATGAAGGGTCTAGATGTCGGTGTTGGGGCAGAGGTGATGTTCGTTTGCCACTTACAAAATTCTACAACATATCTATAGTAATATATATGATATGTATGTATATTTTGCATTCAAGTATCTTTTGTTTATGGATGTATGTGATATAGTTGTGTAAGCATGTATGCAAAAATGTTTTCATTAATATTATAGATATGTTTTTGTGGTGTATGTATGTACAAGTGATGTCGTCTACAAAATCTATTCGTAAGCCATTGATTTGTTCAACAGTTTTGTTTATTGATGTAATTAAATACTTTCGTTTAACAGAGAAAGAAAATGGAGAAAGAACCAAAAAAAAAAACAAGAATGTTTGAAGAGAAGAAATTTCGTATTCACCTGACAGTTTGGAACTGAGTGGTTGTTTGGCTACATTTGTCGCTGACTGTCTGGTTTTACCTTTCGGGTGTACAACGTTCGTTTGTTTGCTCCCTAGAAAAATACACATACATAGAAGTTGGATGGGTACACAAATGGAAGCTTTTGATTAAACTGTTGACTAGACCAGCGTCCAGCTAAACTGAGAACATCAAAAAAAGAAAACTTAGCTCATTTTCAAACGCATTTTTACTACTTATTTCTTTGGGTGAGTTTGTGTGTGTAAATGTATCTGTATAGATTTGTATATTGGTAAGATAAGTGTATGTGTGTTAACAATACTATTTTTTATTTGCTTTAAATTGATGACATTTTAGAAAGGTTTTTAAAAAACTTTTGCTAAACTTAAAATAAAGCAATTTCATTGATTAAGTTTCTTTTTCAGGTCCTTATATCTTGTCGTTTGCCTAGCTTTCCATGGGCATTGTCCGTCTGGCTACATATATGTTAGTAGGTACATAGGTGTATATGGCTATACTAAATATATAAATGCATAGTAATCAGATCAACAACAGCTTAATAGTACGTTTATCTACTTAACTATGAACGTTTAAAATAAAATGTATCAATGCAAAGAACGTGACCGTCGTTTTAGCGTTGTGGGTATGGGTGTGTGTGTATGTCTTTGTGTAGTTTTATATATACATTGAAATAAATTGAATGGATTTGCTAAAAGTAAAACGACAAGGTTGTATCTATCATTTGCTAAAAACATTTGTCTTACAAAGGGGTTTATATCACTCTCTGTGGCCTAAGTTCAATGTAATTCCATGTAAATCGTGTAATTACCACTAACTAGTAATTGACTACCGATATAACTTTAAGCCTACATTACTTAGATAGAATTACAACATTTCATTTGGTATTTAGTAGCGTGTATATTTGTGTATTTATCCGTTCTACCTAATACAGAAAATAACCAGGTTGAGACATTACGCACGAGAATAAAAATTAAAAATATAATTATATGCATAAATACTTGAGATAAGTGAAAATACAATTCACAGGATATGTATTGGAATTAGGAAATACGAAACTGAATATCAATAATATTCATACAGCCCAAGTAAATAGAAATATATATGTAAATATATATTTGAAATTTCATATAGAAAAATTGGCAAATTTCTTCTACAGAGAATATATGTGGGGTTGTTTTTAATTTCTTTGGAAAATGAGCGAAATTTGAACCAAATAGAATATTTGCTTTATTTACCCAAATTAGTGATAATTATTAGTATACATATTGTGTTTACAAAATTTCTTTCTTTGGCAACTAATAGTGAAATTTGATTTAGAATTATTTTGTCTATGACATAATACTTCTATGATGCTGTATGTTTGAAGATTTTGACACATTTCCGCAAGGCGTGGAATTAGCCCTACCTGAGATCAATAATGAAGTTGTTGATTTTATAATGTACAATTCATTTACAAAGTGCCAACGAATATTTCATTCTTTGACACTTTGTAAAATGTACAGGGAAATTTATATAAGAAAAATTACTAAAAAGTTGATTCTTTGTCCCAAATTGACGTCTACATATTTCGTCTATATATTCTATATACAGATTTCTCTTGTTCAGTGACTTTTACTAAAACTTGATGGAAAATATTTTAGTGTTTAGTACCACAGCTCTAAAATGACAACTTGTGGAATAATTTGTAAAAACTCGGAATAAGATCTGTATTAACCCATTAGTTATCATATTTTTAACACTTTTGAATTTTGGTCTATTCTGAGAGTTAAAGTACAATTATATGGTGAACATTCTGACTTGATAGAACTCCATTTTAAATGAGTTTTCATTCATATCTTGAAAATTGGACAGAAAATATCTATTCGGCGTGTCGATTGTGGTTTCACATATTGGATAAAAATATTCCTCACATTGATATCAGTAATATTTGCCAAGAACACCACATACCTAAACTGCAAGGATTTCGAGAAAACCGAATATCTTGAAATCACTTGAAATGGGAATATTGACAACCGACAAATTAATATATTTGTCGGAAAAAGAAATCCATTTTTTTCGGCAGATGGTTGTACTGATAGATTTCTAGTTAGGTATCCATCAAAAAATTTCAGATTTATACTAGTTGGAAGGGAAATGTCAATAAAAAAAATATGTTTTGGTTTCGTAGATTCCGCTCAGGAATTTTTGAAAATGTCGATAAAATCGAAGTTGACCGGTATGTTATCTGTCGTAACATCGCCCAGGAGCTAAAAATCGACCATAAAATTGTTTCAACCCATTTACAATTGACCAGAAACGGCAAGAATTGACCAACAGGAGAGGTGTCGTGTTCCACCAGGACAACGCTAGGTTACACACACCTACAGTGACTCGCCAGAAACTTCGGGAGCTTGGTTGAGAAGCTTTAATGCATCCGCAATGCGGTCCAGACGTGGCACAAGCGATTATCATCTTTGTCTTGCATTGCAAAATTTATTTAATGATAAACAATTGGTCTAGAGTTTTTTTGCAAATAGAGAGCTGGACTTCTATCGAGAGAAGAATCATACAATAAAACGGTTCAAATTTGGCCCAAATCGGACATTCCGGAGCATGTTAAATAAAGTCCTATAATTCATATACAAATAATGAATTTCTTTTTCCCCAACCAAATATGTTAATAAAGTTAAATATGTTCGATTTTAGCGAACTTGAAAATGTACGTCGTTTCAATTTACGTCGCCATTTTCCTGCTCAAATGAAGACGTACATCGAAGGATTATTGTATGCTATTGTGAATTCAGTCTAATTATGACAATATTTCGAAATAATTCACATACAATATTTATAAATAAATTACACATTTTATATGATAATTCGAAATGCATTGAAAATCTCGTGCGTTAATGTCCAACAAATAGTTTAGGATAATAATTTTCTATTGTAATTAACTACCTAATACTTCCAATAATTTTTCTATTCTACAAATCCAATAATAATTTCGAATAAATTCTAACCAGACAATTTTTTTGTGTGTTTTTTTTAAGAAACATAAAATTAACATGAAAATGAGAATTTCTATCATAAACTGATTCCTCTTTTCTTCTTCTTTTGTTTTGTTATCTATAATGACAAATAAGTTTTAAAATTATTTTCTGTGCAATTTTTGCCTTTCATTGCTTCGAACTAAGTAGAAATAAGAAGCCAAAACAGAAAATCAAGGAGACAAGAAAACCAAACAAACGCAAATGGTTGATTGGCATACATAACTACATATTATATAACGGCTACAGATGAGCTTGGGAACACGCGTAGAATGATGAATGTTGAATGTTGAAGCCATGCTGATGAAGCCGCAGATTATTTATTTAAAACAAAATTTCGTAATAATGATCGATTGAAAGCATGAAATGCAATCATCTTGAATGTCACAACAAAACGGGGAAACATAACTACAGCAAAACTTATAATGCGGCGAGGAGGGTGGGAAGCAGAAAAAAAAACAAATAAGCAAAAATTGATGTTTGTTTTTACAACAACGGAAGAAGAAATTGCTAGCTGGATGGCTGCTTGGATGGTTGGAATAGGACGTATAGGAATGGGAAAATGCAAAGGAGGCATTTAGGACATTGAAGCAAATCATAGCGTAACGAATGTATGTAATGACAAAAATACACATTTACACATTTTGTTCAACGGTTATCGGTTTATTGCCCAAATGGAAAATGTGTGTTTTTTTCGTTGTTGCTCAAGTATTTGTGTGTGATTAAGGTTTGAGTTCTATTGATAGACAATATCTATATGAAGTAGTATTACTATAAATACGTGAATATTTGATACATGTATTTTGTTATTTATATATAAAAGTGTGTATATATATAAAGCTATATATTGATATAAAAAATGTTGGTAAATATTTATTTGGACTTACCTGTATCGACAATGACATCGATGAGATCCATGGATTTGGCAAAGGCATCTTTCAGATTGATATGATGGAAAGAAACAATGCTACCCTCTCGCTTGGCACGATCGAGCGCCTCGCGGCGTTTGAGCGCCTTCTCGCGTCGCATCTGATTCTTATAAAATTCAGCGAAATTGTTAACTATGATGGGAATAGGCAAAGCGATTACCAGAACACCGCATATGCAACACACAGTACCAATAACCTTTCCCAGTGCAGTAGTGGGATAGATGTCCCCGTAGCCAACAGTTGTCATTGTAATACCCGCCCACCAAAATGTTTCCGGTATTGAAACGAATTTTGTATCCTTTTCATCCTTTTCGGCAAAATATGCCAGCGAAGAAAATATGAGAACGCCCATAGCCAGGAACAGCATTAGTAGACCGAGTTCCTTATATGAATTGCGTAGCGTAAAGCCTAACGACTGCAGGCCCGTTGAGTGACGGGCCAGCTTAAGGATTCGCAGGATGCGCATGATGCGGAATACTTGCACCACCCGGCGCACATCCTGGAACTGGTCCGTTGCATTCTTGTTTGTCTCCAAGAGGAACAGTGAAACAAAATAGGGGAGTATTGCCAATAGATCGATTATATTTAGGCCGCCTTTGAAAAATTTCCACTTGTCAGGCGACGCACTAAACCTAAGTATATACTCTAGTGTAAACCACGATATACAAACGGCCTCAACCATAGCCAATTGTGGATTATCAGTTGGTGTACCCGCATCAACGTCATAATGTTGTAATTGTGGTAGGGTGTTCAACGTCAGGGCTATGGTAGACAGGACTATAAATAATATGGATATCACAGCGATAACCTGCATAGATCAATACATAGAAAAAGGGGGAGAGACAGAGAGAGATACACATTTTCTTTTAATACAATACGATTTTTTTCTTTCAAAATACAAGCGATACCAGACACGATTCATACTATATAACTAGATATAAATACAAAATAATACATATAGCCTATAGAAGTTTTTATGACCTATTAATTATTATTTATTTATTTTTTTTTTTGCTTGGTTGTAAACTTAATCTACCCTAACGTTGGGTGGAGGGAAAGAGGGTATCTATTGAGTGAAGTTCTTTGGTTACTATTCCTGAACAAAGAGAGTTAGTTTTTTTTTAATTTTCGTCACAAACACACACTCCAATTCTGTTAATTCTAAGGGTCGGAGGGAGGAGCTCTTTTAAAGACTCGTTTAAAGCGCTGAAGATTGTTGTTGGTTACTTTGTTGCAACAATGCAGACCTTGTATTCAATAATTTGTCATCAATGAATTCGTATTGTGGTTATTAAAACGGGTTTGAGGGTTAAACATAAATCAAGGGACTGGGTGAAGTTTTGAGATGAAGTTTGGAAATACCATCAAATGAACTGAAGGGAAAACAAACAAATTTAGGGGGAAATATATTTTATTTTAATTTTCTTGGTTTTTGTTTTATTGTATCAACATTTCCTACATATATCCTCAGATTTAATTTCCACAACATATCCTAACCGCATGAAAATATGATACAAAAAAATTAAACAACTCATAAAAAATTTTTAATGGAAAGTAAAAAAAAATTATGAACGTAAACTGATTTTGTGAGAAATTGGATGTAAGGAACTTTGATCCTGTCATATTTTCAATATTTAGGAACCAGTATTCGAATTTATAAAGAACGATCTTCGATTGTTTTATATTAAATCAAACACCATCATCAAACCATCATATGAGTAAAATTTCATCACAGAAGTCGAAACCAAAATTGGTACTCGAATATATTAATTTGCATTAGCAAACGCACTTATTTGCGTTAGCAAACGCACTTATTAGCAAACGCACTTATAACCCAATAAGTTTAAATAATCCCTTAAATTGCTTAAAAATCTGTATGTTCTGAAGCAACTTGAAAAATATTGAGTTTCCGTAATTTATTCGGCATTTCGAACACTAAATAGTGCTACATCCAAGTTTTAGGGTAGACCTCATGCAAAGGTACCTCCAAATTTGAGTATTTTGATGATTTTGGACTCGTATTTAGTCGATGAGCCTCCCTACCAAAGTATGAAAGTGCCAGCCTAAGGTATGTGGAGGTATTCGGCATTTCAGTTTTAAATTTATATGTTTATTAAATATTGACACTGTGCTGGGGAGGTACCAGAAGGAGAGGAGCGGCGGGTCCCCCTTCGGACAGCAAAGATTAGTTCAAATATCGCTTGATATTTGATTTAAAATGTTGACAATTATGGGAAAGGTACCAGTAGTAGTAGACAAATGGGTTCCATATTCGGACTTGATTTAGTCTTGATAAAGATATTAGGTTGTGCAAAGTTTGGTTCAAATCAGATAGTCCGTTCGTATGATTTTTAGCACAATTTTGACTATTTTTAAGGGATGTACCAGAAAGAGTATTATCCTCAATTTTCGAACATGAACTAAGTTTGGAAGAAATATTAGGTTGGGAGAAAATAAATCTATTAGGCTAAAAATGATCGAAGTTGGCCGGCACGTTAGCAGTCGTAACATCGCGCAGGAGCTAAAAATCGTCCATAGAATTGTTTTAAACCATTTACACAAATCTAGATTCAAAAGGAAGCTCGATGTTTGGGTGCCACACTAATTAAGAAAACAAAAAATAGGATGGATCGAATTTCCATCTGCGAAACCATGGCCTAACGGAATGGGATAGACCCATTTCTTAAACAGATGGTGACTGGAGATGAGAAATGGATCACATGCGATAGCTCTGTTCGAAAAGAGGGGTGAAGCACCTCAAACGGTGGGAAAACCAACGGCCACGAAGGTTCTGCTATGCATTTGGTGGAACTGGATGGGGATTATCTATTATGAGTCTCTTCCATATTGCCAAACGCTGAATTCTGATCTATATTGTCAAAAACTGAACCGTTTGGTGATAACAATTGTCCAGAATTGGCCAACAAGAGAGGTGTCGTGTTCCACGAGGACAACGCTGGGCCACTCACATCTACAGTGACTCGCCAGAATCTTCGGGAGCTTGGTTGGAAGCTTTTAATGCATCCACCATACAGTCCGGGCTTGGCACCAAGCGATTATCATCTTTTTCTTGCATTGCAAAATTTCTTTAATGATAAAAAATTGCTATCAAGGGAGGATTGTGAAAATCGGATACTAGAGTTTTTGTTTTGCAAATAGAGATCAGGACATCTATGAGAGAGGCATTATGAAGTTACCCTTAAAATGGCAACAAATCATACCAAAAAACTTGGCATATTTGGCACAAATCGGACATTCCGAAGCATCTTACATAAAATCTTATAGTTCATATAAAAATAATGGATTACTTTTTCCACCACCTAATATTACGATGTGCGAAACGGATTTGGTCCACAGAAACATAGGGTCTAAAACCAATATTTCGTAAAGGCACATTTGTGACGTATAATTAGCCATAAGGCTGAGGGTATAAAAATTATCAATATTGATTCACTTTTACGGGCGCGTTGTTCAACAGAATTGATTTTAATTGGTATATATATAGGTTCCCATTGGGAATTAACATTTTTTAACTCCTTTCAAAATAAAAGACCTAGCTCCAAATATTCAGTTGTTATCCTACAAACTATAACATTTTAAGACAGTTTATGCATTTTCGTGAGTCTGTACATCTATTGTAAACATCTATCTAAGAAATCATTCTGAAGAAATTGCTATTCCAAGCAAAAGGTCAGGCCTGAAATTGAGGTATATTAGTCCCCATTTGGGCATACAAGGTTTTGCGCCGTTCTACATATTTCTACCAGAGATAATCAATAATTCCGGTGGAGAGTACCAAAAGTTCAGACCTGTCGAAATTTAACGCCTTTTTCATTCATTAGTTCTTTTTAACATTGTGAAGGTTCCGTTTGTCGAGGCTATTCTCAAAACTATTTATCTATAGTTTATTATATTTGTTACGTTTTGTGTTGTTAAAAACCTACAAAGTCGGCACACGGTCCATCCTCGATTCCTGTACATTAGCAGCAAACACTTTCAAAGCGTTTACTATTTCACGTTCATTTTATTGGGGAGTGAATAACAAAGTCTGTCTGATCTAATATAAAAAAATTGTTTATTCCTTATCCTTGATTCTCAAAAGTAAGTTCTTTTCTCTGGTTTACTCGAAATGTAATATCAAGTCATTAACTGGTGGATTTTACTATTGGATCAATATCAATTCGAATGCATTTCCATTTTTTCACTAAATATAAGAGTTCCTTATGAGAATTGCTAAATATGTTTATGGAGTGAATTGATATGGAATAACTCATATGATTGATATTCAAATTATTTGCACATAAATTTTCATTAATTTCTATTTCCCTTTAAAAATAATGTTATTGCCTATCATGTGCGTAATATGTTATGTAGATGTTTGATTTAATATTTCACAGAAAACCAAAATTTTTCTTTTAATGTTTTCAAAGGAATTTTGTATCGATCGACAAATCGTTCAGAACAACTGATTTTCTTCCTTTGTATTTATGAAAAATATTAATGAGTTTAAATTTTTTTGAAATACAATCGATTTCTCACAAAATTTCGCATATATCATGTCATCTCTAGTTGATATATCATCGTTTTGTTTCTCGGTGTTGATTTAAAATATTGGAATTCTTTTCGTTTCTTGTATAAGAACCCACAGTGTTTGGAGGTGTTTCTGTGTACGTGAGACTGTCTTCGTTGTAGAGAAAAAGTCTATTGGAGGTGTAAATTGGATAGGTGGGGTCGTTTTTGATATTTTCGAAAAAAAAGTGGAAGAGTTTGTGAAGTGGGGTCGTGTGGAATGTGGAGTGGTGTTTGTTAGGGTGGTTGGAAGGAATTAAAAATACTACCGTTTTCTATTAGTCATAATAATAACAAATAATTGGAATAGACAATAACAGTGTTCATTGTTCAACAGAACTTAAAGTTTATAACTAATAAAACTTAAAACATATAACTTAAAACTAAAATAAATAAAAAGAAATAAAGAAAAATGGAATTTGTCAAATAAAATATCATCAATAATACAAAGTGTTATGTGCGGACACATTTAGTACTGGATACAATGGACAAGAGATTATATATAAACATTGACATTATTTTGACACAAATTGCACGTAATTTGTATTTACCAAGAAATAATAGAAAAAAAAATCAAGTAAACACACAAAGTGAACAAAAAAAGAAAGAAAGAAAGAAAGTCAAATAGGAATTGGATTCCAGGAAATATTTTTTCATTGAACAAACATTGGAAACAGTACCAAGTGCTCCTTGTTGTGTTTAATTGTTTCAAGGAGAAGGATGAGTTTTAATTGTTTTTGTTGTTGTTGTTGGTTTCGATTTTGACTTTAGCACTTCTATACACAATATACACATCAAAAGTAACAAAGAAAGTACACAACTGAAATTAATTTAAAAAAAGAATCGTCAATCAAATCATAAACAGAAAGTGGTACAAAGAGAGACGTAGAAATAGTAGAGGAGCAGGAGCAAGAAGAAACTAGGTATTCTTCTACATGGTTATACTCAAAAAACAGGACGGAATGATTAGCTAATGTCCTAACAAAAAATATTGTGTGCCCGCCATCCAACCGCATTTAACCTTTTCAATTTGGCCACATTTCCAGATGGGTGTTGTCACAGTCCACTCTTTCTGGCATGGGTGTGTTCTGGAGAACCAGTTCGGCTCTGTATTTGTGATGAATGTAAATATGTGTATGTGTGTGTGTATTTCTTTGGAAGTTAGGCATGGTGGTGAGCACACAATCCTTTTTTGATAGGGGTGGGGGGGTTATATATTATTTGAAACTACTACGAGCA